TGCCTGTGAGCTGGGCGTGGGAGCGTGGGTGGAGTGCGGCAGGGCGCTGCTGCCTGGCTCGGCCGGCGGGCAGGCCGGGGGGATGCGCTGGTGTGTGCCGTCACCCTGCTCGTTAGCCCGGCAACAGGTGGCTGGTTTCACCTCAGCGATCTTACCGCTTTCCTTTCCCTCCCACAGACCTTTGAAAGTGGAACGAGGCCGGAAGAAATCTGACCTGATCCCCGAGAGGAGGATGGAGAAGAAGAAGGGTGAGAGCGCCGTTGCTTGCTGTGACAGAGGAGAGGGAGAGAAGGGATCCACGGTTGGTGCCCCCATCCCAGGGAAAGGGAGGGATCTTCCCAGCACTGCTGTGGTCCCGACATCGTCTTGAGACTGTTTACAGGGTGTGCAGGGACCGTGAGCTTCCCTACATACGTCCCCTCCTGATTTCGGCGCGTCCCAACCCGTCCTCTCCAGAGAGGCTCCCGGGGCTGGGGCTGGCCCAGGAGGACCCCAAACCCTCGCTGGGGGGGAGCGGTCCCGGGCTTCAGGCCGGGCCGTGCTCTCCTCCAGCGGCCTGATGCCTCGACCTGTCTCTCTTGTTGCTCCAGAGCCCACAGTCGAGGAGAAACTTCAGAAACTTCACAGCGAGATCAAGTTTGCCCTGAAGGTGGATAACCCGGTGAGTGCCCGGGAGCGCTGGCCTGGCCTGGGAGGTCCCTGCTCGTCGTCTTCTCCTTGGCCACTGCCTGATCCTTGCCTGGCTGCGGAACCGGGGGCTGCTCAGCCTGGCTGAGCCTCCTCTGCCCGCTCTGGAATGCGGGGTGGCATTAGGGGACCCTGCAGGGAGACTTCCAGGCAGCTTCTGATCTCGGCGCCGTCCTTGCAGGACATCAAGCGATGTCTGAATGCGCTGGAGGAGCTGGGCACGCTCCAGGTCACCTCTCACATCCTCCAGAAGCACACCGACGTGGTGGCTACACTGAAAAAGGTAGGGTGGAGGGCCGAGTGCCTGCCTGGGGGGAGCGAGGAGCCTCCTTGGGCCACCCCAGCTCCAGGGGCATCCCTCCTCCCTCTTTCTGGCGTAGATCCGTCGCTATAAAGCAAACAAGGACGTGATGGAGAAAGCTGCCGAAGTCTACACCCGGTTGAAGTCACGTGTCCTGGGACCAAAGATGGAGGCGATCCAGAAAGCCAACAAAGCCGGGCCTGAGAAGGACAAGGGGGAGACGGAGAAGGGCCAGGAGAAGCTTTCGGGTGGGGAGACACGGAATGAGAAGAGGGAAGAGGAGACGAATGCTGGTAACGCTCCCTGCACATCCCGGGGCGGTTCCCTGCCCTGTCCGGGCACATAGCGATCCCGGGGCCCTTCTCGGGGCACGGCCCAGCCCGCTGGGGTCACGAATGGGGACACGAGTGGGGACACGACCCGACCCTCTGGGGACCGGGGACACAAGCAGGGGTGGCTCTTGGCCTTGGTGGTGGAGGCCCTTGCTCACTGGAGTGCCAGGAGTGGGAAGGGATCGAACATTGAGCGCTCGCGGCAGTGAGAGCAGAGGGCAAACCTCGACGCCCACGCCCTGGCTTTGGGTGCCTCTGGGCTGATTTTTAGGCCAAGACGGCTCCTCGCTGCCAGCGCGAGCGCTGGTCCAAGGCTCTGGGGAGAAGGAGGAATGCGGAGACGCCCTTGGACCCTGGCTCGGGCTCTTGCGCGGGCAGCTGGTGATGGGGATCTTCCACCGCTGGGGCCGGGTCCCTGCCTGGGGACGTCCTGGTGATGCTGCAAGAGCCTTCCCGGAGGAGCTGATGGGGAAAATCCGCTCCGACGCCTGCCTCTGGGCTTGGGGATGGAGTCTTTGGGACCCTTCTCCTAGCTGTCGGGGTCAGGCCAGGCCTGGGGTCCCCTCGGGCTTGGCTGGTTTTCCCTTGCCTGGATGGGGACAGCGTTTGGGTGGGGGTCCTCGGCGTTCCCAGCCCCTCGTGGGTCAGGGGGGAGGAGGTCTGCCGTGGGGACCCGGCTGGCTGAGCCTCTCTGTTCCCTTCAGACTTGTCGGGTCCTGTGAATGGCGAGTCCCTGTCCCAAAAAACAGAGGGCACGGAGGGGAAGGACAAAAGCCAAGGGCCGGGAGCTGGGGAGTCGGAGGCGTCTGTCGAGGAGACCCACAACAAGTGAGCGTGCGAGGGGCAAAGCTGGGGGCTCGGCACCTCTCCTCGGCCTGCTGCCAAGCTGGGTGCTCGGATGGAGGATCTGGGGGGTCTCGGGGGTCGTGGTGGGCTTTCCCCAGCTTGGGAAGGAGCCTGGGGGCACAGGGCATGGCGGACGCTCGCTGAGGCGCCTGTGCACTCCCCCAACAGCGTGCAGGACTATCCCAAGGCCGAGCGAGCTGGGCCGGAGCGAGCCCGCGGGGAG